ACTTTTGATTCAAATAGAGGGAATTTTGAACTCGCGTCAGTTTTTTGCACATTCTAATGAACCAAATGATCTTAAACCTATTTGTCCCTCCCATTTCCTAATAGGACGAACCATGCACATTCTCTTAGAGATGAACTTGAAGGAACTTCTGGACAATCGACTTTCATCACTAGAAACTGTCCAAAAATACAAACAGCAATTTTGGACTCGATTTCAAAAGGAGTATGTAACCCAACTCTATCACTCGTATAATTAGAGAAACGCTATACTTACTCCCATAAAAGTAGGTACTTTGGTGCTGGTCAATGATGACAACACTCTGTTAAGCCAGTAGTTAATGAGCAGAGTGGATACACTTATCCAGGGCAACTACAATGTAGTCAGAGTGGCTACTATCAAGATTAAACAGGAATTATCATACGAAAAATTAGACAATTGTGTCCCCTTCCGCTACAGACTGATCTTGTGTTGTAGTTCAGTCACTTTTTGTCATAATATTTGGCTTTACAACAAATGTTTAATTTTTCACAGTATTACTTCATAATGTGTTACGTTAATTTTTTTTTGAAAGTACCCTTCAAAGCGGGGCCATGTTCAAAACTTTGTCTATAATGTATTTAAAATATGTTCAAATTGATAAGAAGCGACAACGCCGCATCTTGTTGATATCGCTTAACTCTCGCTTAAAGAACAGAACAATTAAAGAGCTCAACCTGAAAGGTTGTGTTTTTTGTATTTCCATTTACCCACATTCGCAATTTAACATACTCTAAACCAGCTATTCTCAACCGCTGGTCCGGCAGACCATTAGTGGTCCGCGGAGAAATTTTACTGGTCTCATTATCAGATACTACAACCCTGAATATTTAAAATATGGTTTTATTCTTTGGCCCAAATCTACAGAAGATGTACGTCCGATGTGTATGATTTGCCAGAAATCGGCTTTTGGTTATTTCACCGCTCCGACTTAGCTTGTCTAATTTGGAACCAACAATTGAAGAA